GTTCTGTTAAGGAGGAAGATTTGAAAATCCACCACTTTTTTTTTTTTTTTTTCTTTAGATCAAGGGCGTATTTTTTTATTTTCTAGTTGAGAGAAGAGGTGACAGAAGCATTCCCCCCAAGTGATCTTGATTCTGAATATCTCCTTAGGAGGTCTGGTCACGGAGAAGAATGAGCCACTTGCGGGCTGCCCCTGTTTGAACAACCTGAGCCTCAGCATGTCTGACATCGCCCACCTGGGACTGATATCCCAAAACACTGAAAACATTTATCAACTTTTTTTTATCATTAAAATATAATTAATTACTAAAAATAAAATTTTAGTTTTTATAATATTATTCTGTATTTTTATTGAAAGAAATTGTCCAGGAGACAAGACTCCTGTTTGATGCCTTTATTAGGATTCAGCTCTTGGGGTGGGGGGCCCAAGGGATGGCTTTCACCACAGCTGTTCCCACACTGGCAGCTCCAAGGAGAAAGCACAATTCAGCTCTGCAGCACACATTGCAAAGCTGGTGCGTCCATCTTCATGAGAGTAGCCCAGAGACTTGTCATTCCAGCTCGTTGTCTCAGGGTGTCAGTCCTTTCCAGTCCTCTTGAGGTCATGGTGATGCAGGAAGATGGTTTCTAAGCAGGCTTAGGTGATGCAGGGAGATGATCTTGCATCATAGCTTGCTAGAATATGTTTCCTTGTCCTTTTATTCCTCTGTTAGCTCGTTGTTTTGGTGTCCTGCATGCCTTAGTTTGCATATTGCTCTGCTGCACAGCTTCATGGGACTTTCTTTTGTTAGTGTGGCCCAGTGTCCCTGGGAGCAACCTTTCTAATGGGTATCTTTTGTTAGTGTGGCCCAGTGTCCCTGGGAGCAGTTTCTGTGGTGTACCTTTCTAATGGGTATCTTTTGTTAGTGTGGCCCAGCCCCCATGGGAGCAGCTTTGTTACATAGTAGCAAGGAAGTAAGGGAAAGCGTAGAGGAATGTCTCAAAAGAACCTTTAAAACACTTCAGAAACTGGTAAGTAATTAACATTACTAATAACCATTGGAGTAAACAAGTGGTACAAGGTTTACAAATAGGATAAGAACATTAATTGTACATAACTAAACACAGTATTTGAACCAGGGTGGATTTCTTGAGAGATTTCATTAATGACATTTATAACCTAATTTTTATATTTACATAAAAGAATTGATACATTTTGAGCAACTAAAAACATTATTTGCTTTGGTTCTAAACACCAAAATTCCGTTCATTAATTAATTGACCACTATTTCTCTCTCTTTATGCTAATTAGTCCTATTTTTAATCCTTAGGTTATCATTATAAAAATTGTCTCAGACAGGGTAAAAGTGGCTACTTTGGGGTCCATGGAGACTTTTCTGAGGAACATTTGGGGCAGTTTTGGGTCTGGGGAGGGAATTTAGAGAGAAATTGGGGGTCTGGAGGACACTTGGGGGAGCCGGGTGGGCACTTGGAGGGGCACTTAGGGATTCTGTGGGACAATTCGGGGCCCAGGGGGGCACTTGGAGGTGAGGGAGGTGAATCTGGGGGCCCTTTGGGGCCTGGGCGGGCACTTGGGGGGGCTGTAACGGGGCTCTCTGGGCCGCGGGGAATGCTGGGAGTTGTAGGCGCCGGTATAATGTGGTTTATTGGGGCCGCGGAGCATCACGGGAGTTGTAGGCACAGCTCCAATGGGTTCCAGTGAGGCGCGGAGCATGATGGGAGCTGTAGTCCCGGAAGTGGCTCGGAAGGCGCGTTTTGCGGTGTGGGGAGGCACTTGGAGAACACTTTTGCGTCTGAGCTGTGGCTGCAGGTCCTCGGGGTGAATGTATACAACTCGGGAGCACTTGGGGGGAACCTGGGGAGCTCTAACCGGGCTCTTTAGGGAGCGGGGCACGGCAGGAGGTTTGGGCGTGGAACTGTGTTCTGGGATGATGGGAGATGAATTCCTAGCAGTGGCTGGAAGGGGCATCTGTGGGGTCGGGAGCATTCAGGGATCCAGGAACGCTTTGGGGGGCCTCGAACAGGCGCTGAGGAGGCAGTCGGGGATCCTGGAGGGTTTGGGGGACACTTTTGGGACATGGGGGGTGATCCCGGCATTCTGAGGAGCGCAGGGCATATTCCCAATTCCTCACAACCTGGTTTCAATTGCCTGATGCAGGCTCCTACTCACTGCCAGTATGATCCCAGTATGATGTCACTACACAGCCAGTGCAATCTCAGCCACTGCAAGATGATTCCAGTATGATCCCAGTACAAACCAGTCCCTGCCAGTGCTGCCACTCCTGGGATCCCCCATCTCTCTCTGTGTTCCCCCCCTCCCACATCTCCCC